CCCCGTCACAGACCAGCCGCTTCCCGTCCTCAGCCGCCGGCGCCGCGGCTCCCGCCGGGCGCGCCGCGCCGCCTGGCTGCGGCGGCGCCGGGTCAGGGTAGCCCAGCCAGCGCCTGAGCAGCGCCCGCCACCACGCGAACGTGAGCCATTCTGGGGGTTGGCGCGTGGGGGATGGGGGTGGGGTTGGGGGTGCGTGCCCACACTCGCAGCAGGTGCGCCGACCGCGACAGCGGCACCGCAGGGCTGTCGGGCGGGGCGCCGCCCGCTGGGCGGGGCGGCGGCGTGTGCAGCAGCCTTCAGGGGCGCGCAGGCGCGGTCGCCGGTGGCGCCGTTGCGGCCAGCTCACCCCGCTTGATGAAAGTGAGCCACCCGTACTGATGGGCGAGCCCCAGAAGGAACGGCAGCAGCAGGTGCAGCGGCACGCACACCGGGCCCAGGCAGATCTGTGAGGTGTGGGGGGCGAGCTCCCGCTCAACAAGCTGCTGCACGCGGCGGCAACGCTCGGGACGGACCCCTCCGCACCGCTGCGCATGCTGTGCGCCTGCGCCGCGTCGTGCATGTGCCCGCCTGCAAGCCGCATGGATTCTACACGCATGTACAGCATCCAAGCGGGATAGGCAAAGCCACATGCCCCCAGCTTCTATGATCCAGGTGCTCGCTTTCACCCACCACAGGCATCTCTGATCTTTTTGAAAGCTGCCTTGAAAAATGTGGTCAGATATTTCCCGCTGATTCAAGGATCAAGCTGGGTGGGCTGGGGTCCGGACAAGCTAGACAAGCTGGACAATCATACGGTACTGGAGGCCAGCAAACAGCGATCACTTGATTTGCAGAGGTATCAATGTGAAGACTTACCGTATGCGACACCTCAATGCCCATGCCAGATGGCGGCTGCTCTGCCAGCTGGGTCCGGAGTGCCATGAGTGCTGGGTGTTGGTGCTGCCAGGCGCTCATTGACCTGGAGCACTATTTCATAGCCTTATATATATACCCCTTTGTATCCCTTCACGCTGATGATTATGAGAGCAGAAGTTGGTGTGATGAGTGCGTCATGCAGGACGTCAGCGTCAACAGGACTCCCGATTTTGACCAGGTTTGACCTGGGCGAAGCATGCACTTTGGTGACGGGGCGGTGCAGCCGCACCAAATCGTGGCGCCATTACGCAATACTATGCGCCTTTGTACTCATTCCCCAAGCTGCAATATGACTGCAGCGGGCTGTCCACATGCAAGCGGCACGGTGCGCGCGGAGGCAGTTGACAAAAGCGAAACTGCGACGCAACTCCAGCAAAAGGCCGATTGTGTGCGCCGGTAAAGCCCAGGGCTCAAAGACGAAAGATGACTGAGCCTTCAGCTGAACCACCTTGTGGGTAGAGCCTCATTCTGCAATGCAAAACCTTGCGCGCGAAGGTCAAACACCCTTCCACCCCATCAAGATGACCACACGCCACCGTCAGACCACCGGAAGCCCCGTGCCCCTAGAGCTTCCGCCAAGCCCGCCGTAGCCGCCCGCGGCGCCGCCGCCGCTGTTGGTCATGCGCGGGCCGCGCTCGACGTCGCCGGGGCCGGAGGGCCGCTTGCTCGCGCCAGACGCGCCGCGCCCCTCCTGCGCGTTCTTAATTTGGCGCGCTTTGTAGATGAGAAGGGCCCCTGTGCCCACTGACAGCGCCACAAAGCAGCCCACCACAATGCCGACAATCGCCTGCCACCCCAGCCGCGGCG